AAGCATGCCCCAGACGTCGATGCCACAGCTAGATTTCAGTTTTCTTTTTCTCCACCGCAGAACCATCTACTGTCAATGCTTATCGTAGCTTGTCGAAACTTTTTTACAGCAAGCCCAAGTAATACAGTTTCCCTCGCCTAATACCACAAGCAATCATCTGCTTTGTTTAGTTGTCCTTAAACATACAAAAATCAAGCCAAAAAATTACAACACAAGATAAAACTGTGGTTATTTAGGAAACTGACAAAAGATTATAAGATAAAGATGGAACAACTAAAACAAAATCTAAATTTAGATTATCAGTGAGTGTCAAAGATCCTTCCCCAATAACTTAGGTCGAAGTACCATTAGCAATAGAAACAAATTGTTTTGAGGAAGAATTAAGCGAGAAAATCTGTCTAGAATCAAATGTCATATGATCTGTAGCACCAAAATCAATTATCCATGCACTATTAACAACAGGTGTAGAAATATTTAAAGCCTTACCACCATGATCTCTAGTTACTACCAACCCCAAGGCCTTGTCAGCATCATTATCATCTGTCTTAACAACTGCTGCAGTGGAGGTCTTCATTGAATTCTTCTTCCAACAACTATGATCCCACCATTCCGGATATCCCACAAGTTCGAAACAATGATTTTTGGTATGACCAGTCTGATTGCAATTGGTGCATTTATAGGTAGACTTGTCTGCATCGTTGGTGGCTTTAGATTGATTAGGTTTAGAACGGTCTTGCCAATTTTGCTTAGACTTATTTCGAGCCATCATGACTGAAGCTTTAGAGTTTTTAGATTCCCCTTTCAGAGTTGCACGATGTACTGCTTCTCGTCGAACCAAAGAGTAGCAGCCTTCCAAGTCTGGAACTAGATCGTTGCGTAGAATTTCTCTACGAACTTGTTCAAAATCACCATCTAATCCGGCAAGAAAGATGTGAACACTTAGTCGCTCGATAGACTTCCGATATGCTTCAATGTCATCTGGATTTTTCATGATCACTTTATCTCGATGGTCCATTTCTCGGAAAACTTCAGTTAGCTCTCCATAATATTCAGATAGAGATTTTCCCTTTTGTTTGGCGGTGAAGGCCTTTTGGTTCAAGGCGGAAACTTGCAACTCATCATTCCCATCATAAAAAGCCTTTGATAGAGCACTCCAGATTGCACGGGCAGTGGGTAAGTGTAAATAACGCTTCATAATTTATGGAGTCATAGACATTAATAGCCACCACTTCACTTTCTAATTTTCTGCATACCACTTATCATAACCATCTTCTGATTCAGTAGGTGGCTTAGTCTTGCCACAAATATAGGAGAGTTTCTCCCTTTCAGCAATATGCATCTCCATCAGTTGGGACCAAACATCATAATTGGATCCAGATTGAATAAAAATAGGAACTGATTTTATTCCAAAAGATTCAATATGTTTTTCACTCATTTTTTTTTTTTTTTTTGGAATATATATATATATATATATATATATATATAATATATCAAGCTGTTCTCTGTTAAGAGAGATAAATATAAACTAAACAAAAAACAAAAAACTGGATGCAAGGCAGCGGGATGCACTGCAGCGGCAGAGACGATTATTGCTTGCGTCGCCGGAGAAGACGACGGCCGTGGCAGATCTGATCTGAGAAGAGCCCACCGCCGACAATAGATCCGGCAGGGACAAACTGGTGCAGCGGCTGGTTTGGCCTCGATGGGAACACGGCCGATTGATTAACGGCAGGCAAGGTGCAGCGGTTCGTTGCGGCAGCGTCGTCGTCGTTTGGAGAATCGCCGGCAGGTAGCGGTGCAACGAGATCCGGAGATGCGATGCGATGATCCGGCGAAGATCCAGCGATGCGACGTCGAGGTGCAACGGTTCCGGCAACGGCGATACAGATCCGTCGAGGTGCAGCGGTTTGGTTACGGCTGTTCGCCGGCAGCGGTGCAGCGGTTCGGCATCGTCGTTGTCGATGAAAGATCGCCGACAGCGGTTCGACAGATCTGGGATGGCCGCAAGAGTCAATGGTTCGCCGGCAGCGGTTCGACAGTCAGTGGTGGTTCGACAGCGAGTATGGGTCTGTGAATCTGGTTTATGGTGACTGGTTCGACAGTAAATAGTGGTTCGACAGCGGGTATGGGTCTGTGAATCTGGTTTATGGTGACTGTATGTGTATGGGTATGGGTCTAAATGTATGTGTATGGGTGTATACGGTGTATATTCAAAGAGATTCAAAGCAACGGTTCAATGATGACTCTAATACCATCTTGAAGTTCAAAGAAAGAATATGAGAATTACGAACTCAATTCAATATTATTCACAATGGTGTTATTCAATTACATCGGGAAACTAATTATTTACCGATTAGTCCTAAATTAAGGAGAAAATAATTCAATCCTACAGTAAAATCTTAACACTATTTCTCCTCCTCCTCCTCGTCAACAACACAAAGCCCTAGAATCTGAGCCGTTTGTTCAAATAACGGTCAATCATCGCATGGTGGAGGATAAGCAGAGTTCGATATCTAGGATTTATTGTCCCACTCTGATTCAGCTCTTGCCTCCTCTGCCTCACAACCATCCAGTTGATCAAAAATAAATCCACCACTACCAACCTCTCCTCTGTTTTTATCACGCTATCAGAGTGTTTCAAAGAGAGGGAGAGTTTTAGTGGGGTGAAAAAGAACAGGGTAGTTTTGTAATTTTAGAAAAATTATTTTCAATTTTTTTTTTAATTTAACATTAAATAATAGCAAGGTCAAATTTGTCATTTTACAGTCCGGGTCGGACGCGGATATTGGGGCAATGTGATCACTTTTAAAAGTGTAGGGGTTTTTTTTAAATAAGTTGAAGGTTTATGATCAAAATTTAAAAGTAGTGGGTTTTTATAAAATTAGTCCTTATTTTTATTCCAATCACTAAATATCCATTTGTATTATTCTTATTTGAAAATAATTATTACTTTAGTTAGTTAGAACACGTACGTAATCTACAAAACTCATCTTTGTTCCGCCCCGCCCCGTTTAATAAATACATTTGGAAAAGAATGAAGGTAGCTATGTTTAACGTGAATGAAAATGACATCAACCTCAGAAGAGTCTGGTGCACTAGTGTAAAGCACTTTCATTATACTATAACACCCTTCCATCATAATTCAGTACAGTTGAATCACATAATGTAATACAAATACAATATATTACATCGTGTTGCAATATTGTAATACTGTTAAATCAAATATATAGTACATTTATGTTTTTACATTCATGATTTAAAAATGGGTAAATTACATTGACATCCCCTGAGGTTTCGATCAATGTCACTCATATGCGGGTCAATAACTTTTTTAACAATGACACCCCATGTGGTTTCAAATGTCATATTTGCCCCTGATTATTCCCTGTTAATTGACGAAACTACCCTCATATTAAACCTCTTTCTCTACCCTAATCTTTAACTCTTTTTTTTATTCATTTTAGTATCTAGCTGCCGACACTCCATCTTTCTCTTCTCGATCTCAAACAGGGGTGCCTTTTTTTTTTTTTTTTTTTTTTTTTTTTTCCCCTGTTATGGTGGGTCTGGGCTGACCATGGTTTTTTTTTTTTTTCCTACTCTGGTGGTGGTAATTGTGGTGTGGTTTAGGTGTGGTTGTGGTGGTTATGGTGATGTCTAGGTTATCAGGGTGTTTCAAAATTTTATTTTTATTTTTTCTATTGTGGTGGTGGTGGTTCTGATAGAGTCTGGATGTGTTGGTGGTGTTGTCTTGATGTGGTGGTTGTTCTGGTAGCGTTTAGAATGTATAAGCATGGGTTGGCCATGACTGTTTTCAAATTTTTTTTTTTTTTTCTACTATGGTGTTGGGTGTGGTAGTGGTGGTTCTGGTGGTATATAGTTATCTGGCTATTAAAAATATATATATATATAATTTTATTTTTTAATTTTAATTTTTATTTTTATGTTGTGGTGATGGTTATGGTGGTATAAGTATTATTATATATAAACTATATCTATATGTATAGAAGAGATAAAGAGGGTAGTTTAGTCCATTAAATTTAGTTAGGAAGTTAAATTTGTAATTTCATGATTTAAATGGAATTATTGACAAGGCAAAGGATTAAAAGGTAATTTTATATGGTTTAAGAGGTCGGAAGGGGTGTCACATTTTTTAAACATCACGGGTGTCAATATAAAAAATAGCCATTAACCGTCTGTTGAGTGGCGTTGACCAAAACCTCAAGAGATATCAGTACAATTTATCATTTAAAAATTACATTGTGGGTATTGGATAGTAATACTGTTAAATCGAATATTTAGTACATCTATGCAGCTACATTCATGATTTAAAAATTACATAGTGGATATTGATCATATTGGGTAATGAAGGGATGGCATTGCCTCGAACCAAATTGTTTTTTTGTGAAAAGAAGTTCCATTGATGCAGAGACATCAAGAAGTAAAGTTGTCCATACTAAAAATGAATTGATAATAAAAATAATGAGAGCCAGATAGAAGAATCGCGTATTACGTATTGTTGTAATGATGAAGTTGATGCACATCAAGAAATTGGTACTTCGAGATAAAAGAAAAGAAACAAAGATTGTAATGTATATTTACGCAAATGATTTTTTTTATTTTCTGAACTCCCATATTTGTAGAGAGCTTTGACAGCCATTCGAAAAATTCAAGTCCATTTCGTGTTTAAGAACATTCAATGAGCTAGTGTCATCAAGTTTATTATATATCAATTTATTGTTGACCAAATACTTCTCTTAAGATGTTAAGGTGGTAACAGACATTTGCCAAATATACCAATATGAATATGTAGATACAGCCCAGATACGTGTCAGATACGTTAAAACAATTCATGCCTAATTCCATCAGAATTTTATATTTGTAGGTTCATATTCTAGACACAAAGTTGACTTAAATTCTGAACTCTAAAACAAATAAAAAAAAATTGCTACAGTTGAATAGTCAATATAATGTGATCTACGAAAAAAAAAATAGTCCATATGTGTGAGAATATGCTAACCCCAACCACTTCTCATTATCCAATTCTTTACAATGGGTGAATAGCAGTCAAAGCTAACTTTTCAAGAACATTGATTTAAACAATAAAACAATCCATGTATATACATTACAATCTTCCATTTCTTGATATGCATCAACTCCATCAGTACAACAGTATGAAATAGGCGCAACTTCTATCTGGCTTCCATTATTGTTATTGTCAATTCATTTCCAGTATGACTTCTCTCACTTGTTGATGTCTCTGCATCCATAGAACTTTCTACAAAGAAACCAGGCTGTTTGGGTTCAGGCAATGCCACTCCCTCATTACCCAACATGAACACTACTGATGACATGGTTGGTCTGTCTTTAGGCAGTTTCTGAACACATAGTAGACCCACTTGAATATATCTTAGTACTTGAGATTCAATGTATGAATTTTCCAAATATGTATCCACTAGTTCCAGGGATTTTTGTTCATTCCACAGCAACCAAGCCTATAACAATCACAATCCTAAAACTTAGTAATTCACACAAAAAGCTAGAGAGAAAAATAAAATAGAATAGAATAGACTATATTTAACCATAGAGATTTACATGTCCCAAAAGGGAATGATGGTGATCAGGATGATGAAATCTCCAATTCTTCTTGCCACTCACTATCTCCAGTAAAAGCACACCTAAACTAAATACATCAGATTTTACTGAAAAGTTCCCATCAATGGCATACTCCGGCGACATGTAACCACTGCATAAAATTATCAAATTTAAGCATTTGAAATCTTGAACAAAGTACTATCTGACATTTGTTTGCAAAACTTACTATGTTCCGATTACTCGCTTTGTTTTGTCTTCAATTTGATCTCTCCCAAAACTTCTTGCTATCCCAAAGTCTGAAATTTTGGGGCTTAGTTCATCATCTAGTAAAATGTTGCTGGCTTTGAGATCCCTATGAATGATTTTTAATCTTGAGTCCTGGTGAAGGTAGAGAAGTCCCCTTGATATTCCCATAGCAATTTCAAATCGCTTTTGCCATGGAAGTTCTAGTCTTCTATTCTGATCTGCATGACATTTCCATCCATATAAGCTTTACATCAGTTATCATTTTAAAAATAGGGCAGAGGACTCTGCTGCATAAATTGCACTATGAAAGTGGTATAATAAGATGAATGGTCAAGAGAACTAGACCAAAAATAAAATAGTCCAAGCTTTTGTTCGGCATGTACTCGTATATTAGCATCCTCTCTTCTCCTTCATCGCAACAGCCCAATAGCCTAACAAGATTCCGGTGTTGAAGTTTGGATATCAACATAACTTCATTTTTTAACTCTTGTAGACCTTGTCCAGAATTATTTGAAAGCCTCTTGACTGCTATTTCTTGTCCCGTTTTTAGCTTACCCTACAAGTTTTTTAATAGCAATGTTAAAATCATGGGGTTCACTTTTTGATTAGATATCGAACCAAAGATTACTTATTTAACCTTATAAACAAGACCAAAACCACCCTCTCCGATCATATTTGTGCAAGAGAAGTTCTTAGTGGCATTTGCAATAGTGTCCAGATCAAAAAATGGTAACTCGATGTCTTCATTCTTAGTTTCCATACCTGCAAAATAAAAAATGTTATAGATGAAACTAGATAACTGTCATCACTCAAATAACCGTCTGGCATGCTAATGGATCACCCCGACTCTCTTTCCAGAATGGAATGGCATGACACTCTTAAATACAGCGGCAGCATGATAATCATTTGTTTAGGAAAAAAGAAAAAGAAACTTTTAAGCAACATGTGACTATGTGAGAACCCGAAATTTTGAAATATATTATTGTCGCTAAAATAGAAAAAATAAAATAAAGGGTCTATGACTTAATGAATGTGAAATAAGGGGTCCTTTGTCACATTAACAGAAAAGAAAGTGAAATAATGTCAGTTAAGTACTGACACCCTTAGATGTGTTTTTAGCAGAGCATTGATTTGTTTCTTTAATCATTTGCCTGCTTCAGTAAATGTCATCCATAGCAGTATTGCTATCACACCCAGTGCAAAAACCATATTGGTACCAAATGGTACATTTCTAGGAGGCCGGGTTGGCTACTTGTTAATTTGTTCTCAGACTCTCATGATGACCATTGATGTCATTAGTGCCACAAACTTCTCCAGGTCTTACAAAAGAATCTACACCTAGAAATTTATAAATTTTATAAATATAGGTCATATTGTATCTTTCTATAATACTCTAGAAGATTTTAGGAGATTTAATCTCCTTTTCTATTTGGAGAGCTCTTCTATCCTAATAATTAAAATTGAAACACGTGTTGGACCAAAAGAAGGCCACACGTTGGGATGCGTTGATGTATCTAAATATTCAACTTATACCCTCTCTAACAGCTCAAACTTTTAGATTAGATGGTGGTCAACAGTTGTTTTCAGTAAAGGCCACTACACACCCTTCATGACAAAAAACTTGTGTCTCCATACTCATCCTGAAAAAGTCATGTAAGCCTAAGGGAAAGGATTATGATTTAGACGCACAATCTGATAGGTCCATTTTAGAGATTATTTGCCACAAAAAAATAAAAAATAAATACTTTGGTTGGATGATTTTGTCAATACTTAATAGCATTTAGAAAGCTTAAATTTGGTACACTTCACTGTACATGAGACATCAGATTATAACAACCTGCCTTTTTGTAAAGATGAAGTGGCTCAATTAAAATGAGGAAGTACAGAATGAGACCAAGATATAGGGGCAAAGGAAATTATTTGAAAATCTTGACATTTGATGCCGAAAGGACATGAGAAAGACATCAAATAGAAACTTGGAATCTAACTAAAAAATGGGGTTGGATTTGCCTCCGTAAGAATCCGATGTTTTCTTTGCTAAATAGGGAAGGGAAATAATTTGAGTCTTCTAGATATCTTTACCTTCTCTCTTCAGCTTCCTCCTCCTTATGAAATACAAGAGAAGGAATAGGCCTAGGAGTACCACTCCTGTAAGTAATATAGGAATGACTATAATCTTCCATCGTCCCTCTACATGGGAGCTGCTATGTGTCTCTGGACTCTCTGCACGGTCAAAATTTACCACAATGTAAAGCAACTATAGTTTAAGGCAGGAAAACTAACAAATAAAGCAGCAGTAAAAGAAGACACTTTTCGGTAAATGATTGTCTTTAGGAGACTCTTTCATTCACGGGTGTCATTCATCTTGAAGGCACAACAATGAAGCAGGCTTTAAGAAGTAATTGCAGCAAATTTGCTGCAATTGGACTAATCTAAAATAAATTGATATCAGTTCTCTAGTTTAGGAAACAATTGTCTTAAATAACTTAATATTATTATTTTTGGTTTCGGATTCACCCCAAATGGAATTAATATCAAAACTTCCAATTTCAAAACTCCTTCAAGTTTAAAAAATTATGGACAATTTCATTTGGCGACTTTGTTGAGCACAAACCTAGTGGCACTTGTTTATTGTTTTGGTCTACCACAGCTCAACCTTGAACCTCACATCATATGTGGTCCTAATACTGTGACCACTCAAAATTTCATCATCAGCAATCAATTTGAGCGAATTCCCTGCTTCTTTGCCCCAAAACTGAATAATTTTTCTTGCACCGATAAGGAAAGCAACTAGGTGCCTTTACGAAGTTAATTGTGGTAAAAGGCCAAATGCTCATCCCCGGTTGTAACTGAATTGGAAGCAAAGTTGGCAGAGAAAAAAAAAGTTGACAGAGAAAAAAAAAAGTTGAACATACAAACTAAAGGTTTGACATTGATGTTAGAATGAAAAAAACACTTTTATTAATAGAGGTATCATAAAATTATTGATAGTAAAAGCATGTTAGGTTAGGTGTACTTTTTGCAATTAAAATTTTTAATTTGTTTGGTAACAACATTGTTTTAAGCGCTTCTACTACTAATTTTACAATAATGTCCTTTAATAGAGTGTTACTATATTTAATAATTACAGTATTTTATAAAAGAAGAGATGATTTATTTTATAAAATATAGAAAGGGATAAAATCTTCTAATGAAAAACAGTTACCTAAAATAAATCTCTACTCAAAACACAGTTTTAAAAGCTAGAAATTTTAGCTTCATTCAAAAGCTCTACTGAGCTCAAATTGGTAACAATTAAAAGCACTTTTAATGGTTACCAAACACATCTAAATACAAATTTTTAAAAACAAAGCACTTTCAAGTGGTTGAAAAGCAATCCAAAACAGGCTCTAAATCAGTTTCTCACATTTGTGAGAGCTTCTATATGCCACCTTTCAGTTGAAAAGACGGCAACTTTCTTTTTATTTCCACACCAGAAAGTAAAAGCTACTAACTCATATACATACATACATATATATATATATATATATATATATATATATATATATATATGTCTGGGGATATATATCATACATACCTAACTCAGAGGAGGCCAGTCTTACGTACATATCTTGCCCACTTTCAAGGATTTCCCTAATATCAATCAGGTCATCAAACCAGAGCAAGCAGCCACTTCCTCCTTCTCTTATGTCTATATTTGCATAAGCCATACAAGAACAGTTTTTCAAGCATACCTTTTCGCATTCCTTGAGGGTCATGCTCCTATTAAACCAGGAATACCGCGTGTCAGGCAATTTAACACCGGAATACTTGAGAAATCCATTTGATGAGCCATTGTGGCAATCCAAGGGCGTTCTTCGAACACACCCACCTGACCAATCTGCTGTGTCCCAATCTTTTGGGTATCTTGGCATAAATTTATCAAGACACCCACATACCGGGGAATTACCAATGCTGCAGCGACCATAGCCCTGACACAGCCCATAAAAATCACAGTTATCTGCTGGTGAATTCGCGTAAACTGTCCAATCCTGTGTTTTATAATTCCATATTAAGCGCTGTATAATTCCATTCTGATTCAAAACCCGCCGTGAGAAAACCGAGCTATTAATAAGCTCATATTTAAAATACACTTCCTGCTGATCAAAAACAAAACGGTATGTGTAGATGCTGTTTGCCTGTAAACCCACCACGCCACTCAAACCAAGACCATTCCATGGTCCAGCACGGGATCGCACAACTGAACCTTTCAGGAGGACCAATTGTGGGAATCCACGAAGATCAAGTCCATGAGAATACTCACCTTTAGAGGGGTCATCACTGGACTTCCATGACCATAGACGCCGATCAATTCCGGTTACTAGGTTCTTTCCAAGCTTCATGCCCGGCAACACAGTGTCACATGGATAATCAAAACTCTGCCATAGGAAATTCACATCATTTGCATCTTTGACAACAAGATTACCCGAATCCAAAAGCTGTGCAACTGGGTTCACTGTGTTGTTATTTGATGATGAATTTGAAGAAGACCACAAGATGCTGTTTGTAGTGTTGACAAGCACGAGAATTCCTCCATCAGTGAGCTTTACAACACCTCCTGATGCATCAGTAAGTGGAGTATCTCTGTTGGCAACCCATACCACAGTCCCGTCAGATATCTTTTTGTACCATATTCCCAAGTATCGATTCCTGGAAGTACTACTGGAGGGGCTGAAAAATCCCAGTTCAAATGTTCTATCTGAAGAGACCATGGTTTGCCCATCAGTAAGAAATTGAGTTGTAGTTATGGTGTGTAATTCTACTGCATAGGAGATTATTGTTAACATGGAAATCATAAAATAAAAGAAAAGAACTATGGCAAAAACCATATTTCTTTGATGATTTACTCATATGTTGTTTGTGTATGTTTCTCAGTTTTTTGTTCAATATTAATTCAGGAAACTCATAGGATAGTTATTGACTTACTGGATTGGCAGACCACATAAAGAAAAAAGAAAACCAAATCAGAAAGTCCTCTTCAAAGTCTTCCTTTCACACTCTTTACAGTACTAAATTAATTAACTAGGTGATGTGCCACTATGACATCCTTGACATTTGTTACACAAAGGTCACGGATGACCACATAAACCATCTAGAAGGCATATACGACTAGGACTGGTGACATTCACCTCTCAATTGTCGTTTACATAGTTTTCAGATAACCATCACTGACTAAACTTGTAAAAAACGGTGTCATCTCAAAATCAAGTGGAACGAATGATCCATTGGAGGTCCACAAAATATAAAGCAAAGAGCACATCCACAACACACAAAAATTATAATTATCATTGTGGTGACCTAACAAGTAGTTGATAATGTGATTGAAAGTTAAGAAAAATGTGAACTAACAGGGCAAAAATTAGAAAGGGGAATTCAAACCTGAAATTACACCAGGCAGGAAGCAGAAAAAAATAATCACTTAATTTGTTACATAATTTATTAGTAAATCAAACTCAATCTCAAACATAGAATTCCAAATTTAATTTTATTTTAAAGTATCCTTCTTCAGCCGCCTAAAATAATAAATAAATAAATAAATGGCATCGATCAATTGAAAAAGAGAAGGACAAGGAACGGAAAGGAAAGGAAGAATGAGAGAAGTAAAGAACCAGGTGATGATGCGCCGACAGTAGAAGAAGGTGGTGGGTTTGGGTGAGGAAGTGTTGCAGCGAGAACAGCTCGCTCTCTCCTGGATACGTATCGGAGTTTTGGTAGGAAGAGACAATGGGTTTAGGGTTTTGGATCGCCTGGACGGAGAAGACAGTACGGGACTTTGAACTTCGGGTTCTTCGTCGTCGATTCACTTGAACTTGTTCTTCGTCTTTGTCGTCGAGACTCGTTGGCAGGATTTTGGCTTCGGAATCGGGTGGCTTTGAGGTTAGGGCAACGTTCGGCGCAAATCCCGTGTAGTGTGATTCCCATGTTGTCTCCTACAGTGAGTGTTGCACCCATACCTTGAACATGAAACTATAAGTATAAATCACAACCACGCCACCCAACTTAACTAATACTCCTGTGACTTAAAGTATAATTATAAATATATATAATATTTTTAGATTTCGAGTTGAATTTCGAACTTTATTCATATCAACCCAAACCCAACCTGAATGAATTCGGGCTCAAAATATATAACTCATGCTCAAATCAAAATTAGAAAAACATTGCCTAAGCCTACAAAATTTCAGGCTGGGCTCAGATTATTTCTGGTTGGGCCTGCCCGAGTTGTAACCCTAAACGTAACTCAATTCAACATATCATTTATGTTATAATTTGATATTAAAATATTTTAAAAACACTTTAACATGTTAATTTAAAAATTTTAAACAAAATTAAAATAAGTTGGATTAACTTTAGACAACAAACAAAACACTTGTTGTTTTAAAAAATAATCAAAAGAGTCACATCTTTTTCTTTTCTTTTTTTCCTTCTAAATATTAAAAAAAAAAAAATGCATTTGGGTATAAATTATTTAGCATATTTTTGAAAAAAATTTGGCAAAGTTTAATATTATTTGCCACACTCACCACTTTAACCATCAAAAGAAAAAATTTATCCAAGTTTAATATTAATTGCCACACTCACCATCTTCACCATCAAAAAAAGGTATTCACATAGTACTGAAAAACTAATACTCATACATAAATCTTACTCAATTCTACAAATTATTTATATATTTTTAAAGTAAAATTTATCATAAAAAATAAAACATCCAAAACAATAATCACATGTTAATTTAAAGAGGATTTTGAAGGGGATTATGAGGTATTTTGTTGCAACAACCTTTACTTTTTAAGTGGTGATGTTACCCTCTTACAAATGGCGATGTTACTTTTTAGACTCCTCATAACACAATGAATCAAGAAGATATGAAAAAGAAAATAACACAGTTACCTATATTACATATGTAAATAAAATAAAATAAAATAAAAATATCCATGATAACTAAATCTAACCTTATAAGTTATAACCAGATAATTCAATCAATTAGAAAATTTGATAAAGTGAATCTGTGATTTCATTAATTTGAGCTGCAAATAAAAAAAAAATCTAGATCTTATTTAGAGAATAATAATTAGTAACACCATTACACAAATTAAATTTTGAAAGAACAACAAGCCCTAAAATAATTTTGATAGTAATAACTAATAATTTTTTTAATTAAAATTATAATATCAAATTATAATCATAAATTTAAATGATGAGTACTGAATATAAATATTATATTATTGTTTTAATTTTTACATATATTGTTTTGGTTCAAATTATATATATATATATTATTACTATTAAATATTGCCCCCAAAAAAAAAAAATTCTGACTACGCCACTTTGTTCGGCATTTGGTCAAAAGAACAAGGGTTCTATTTGGTTCATTTTCTCAGCCAACAATTTTTATTTCTTGATTTTTTTTTTTTTTTACAACAATTTTACATTATGGGCCAGGGATGCGAATTTAACCTGTCTCATCGAGGCCAATATTTCTGACAACCACACACTCAGTCCGTATGGGGGTGAAAATCATCTAGTGAAATAGTGTGCCATTTACTCCATTTTAAAATGAGTGGGTCCAAAAATAGTCACGTCACCCATATTTAGAATGCATAGTAGGAAAATATTGATATGCACAGTAGGAAAATGTTAGGATGCACCTTACAAAAATTTTGGAATGTACTTTTACTTACAAAAATGGAGGAAATTGACTACTGTACAACTGGAAGTGATCTTTATCCATCCGTACGGATTGTTTGATAGTCAACCTTCCTGAGCACCTTGATTGTCAGCTATATTAAAATCCAGTTAAATAAATTTTGAAATGCCTAAACTGCCCTGTGCCTATATATATATATCAAAATAATATATTCATTTATTCTATTAAAAATATATTTAATATACAAAATGCATACAATGGTTCGACGAACTGGCCGATTTTTGCAACGAAAAATTAACTGTTAAATTCTGGTATTGGAATCATGATTTAGGTGCAATTTCTCACACCCGAACACTTAAAGGAATGAATCAAAAAGAAATACACAAAATATTGATGATACAACAAACAATTTTTGAAGAGAAGAACAATGATGGGAATTCGATGTTCTTTCATTCTCATTCATGTTCTATTTATAGGCTTTGTTCAGATAATTACATGGAGTCGTTTTCTTGCTTTATTCCCAAACGTGGGTATTTATGTTTACTGATCGTGTAAATATTTCTTTTATTGCAGGTGTTATAGACTTATGGGCTTTCCATGATTGACCTATCCTTGGGTTTTTATGTCAAGCAGAGCTTCCCTTGTTTGATTGGGCTGAGTGTGCAGTTTCTGTTGTTGGGCTCCCAATTGACGGTGGGCTTCTGGGCGATTCTAGTTAAGTAATGGGCTATTCTTTTGTTGCCACGTGGTGTAATATGGTTAATGGGGATTTTTCCCCCACACGGTATAACGGATTCGGACAAAGTCAATGTAAACTGATCGATACGATGAATCATGATTGGAATCCACATGGAACTAGCAGCCCAGCCGGTCCTCTTTCAGAATTGGTTGTTGAACCAGAAGAGAATAAGAAAAATAAATATATTTTATAGAAAGAAGAAAGAAAGATTAAAAAAAAAAAAAAAAGGGAAAGAAACCCGAGTCTGTCTCCGATTACCTTCTTCCCAACTCAATTTAAGAGTGAAATTGTGTGTATATATTTTTTTGTAAGGTTGCAAACTGAGATTGTAGAGTTAATCGTTTGCTTCTGTTTCTCTGTGCCTATAGGCTGAGATATGCGTGATGTCTCCTCCAAAGAGGTCTTTTGATGTTTGTCTATGTACAAATTAATTATCGTGCTTAGCTTATGTTGTATCTTCTTTTTGGATAAGATTTTGGTTTATTACCCACACAAAACCTCCCCTAAAGTTTTATTGACCTAACTATGACCACCTCTCAAATCAAACAAAAATTATAAATGCCTAAACTACCCTGATGAGTAACATATTTACAAAATTAACCTCATCAATCAAATGAAATTACCATTACTGATATTTATAATTGGACCAAACTATCCCTACTTCCAACACTTAAAAAAATAAATTTAATTTATTTTTCATTTGATTATATTTATATAAGTATATATTATATAAAATAGAAAAGGTTAAAGATATTTGTTAATATATGTATGTAAAATATATATTTAATTTTGGGCAAATTGCACTGACATCCCCTGAAATTTTGGTCAACGCCACTCAACGGATGGTCAATGACTTTTTTATATTGACACCCCCTAAGGTTTCAAAAATGTGCATTGATACTCCTGAGATTTCAAAAATGTGCATTGACACCCCCTCCAGACCTCTAAAATCATATAAATTTACCTTTTAACCATTTGACTTGTCAACAACTCAATTTAAATTATGAAATTATAAATTTAACCTTCTAACTAAATTTAATGAACATAACTAACATCTTTATCTCTTCTATACATATAGATATAGTTTATATATAACAATACTTATACCACCATAACCACCACCACATATAAAAATAAAAATAAAAATAAAAATAATATATATTTTTAAAATAGCCAGATAACTGTACACCACCATAACCACCACCACCACACCTAACTACATAAAAATAAAAATAGTCATGACCAACCCGTACTTGTACGTCCCAAATGCCATCAGAACCACCACCACCACCACAATAGAAAAAATAAAAATAAAAATAAAATTTTTGAAACACGTTGATAACCTAGATACTACCATAATCACCACAACCACACCCAAATAACACCACAACCACGACCACCAGCAGAGTAGAAAAAAAAAATTAAAAACAGTCATGGCCAGCCCAGGCCCATCACAATAGGGGAAAAAAAAAAGAAGAAGAAGAAAAACCAGCTATGTCCAACCCAGACCACCACTAACACAATAGAATGGAAAAAAAATTAAAAAAGAGCGATGGCTATTTTTATCTCACCATTCTCATCAATTCTCTTATTTCCTCTCACACCCACTTTCCTTCCCTTACTCATCTCAATCACAAATACAACACCGCCACAACAACCACACCGCAACATTTTCTCCCAAAATTCTGCGAATTAACTTACTCACCATTCCCATCAATTTTCTTCTTTCCTCTTACACCTACTTTCATTCCTTTATTTATCTCAATCACAAATCCAACACCGCTACAATAACCACACCGCAACATTTGTCTCCAAAATTCTACGAATTAACTTGCCCTAACCGCCATCTCCTCTTGCGCCATTTATGTTTTCCTCCATTGGTCACCGATAGCTCCTCTATCGAGGACAAGAACGACGAGGGGTGCAATTTACCCAAAATAATAATAACATAGTAAGAAAGAGGGGAATGAGAGAGATCGGAAAGAGAGAGAGGGAGTATCGACAGCTAGGTACTAAAATGAACCAAAAAAAAGAAAAAAAAAAAAGAGTTAGAGATTAGGATAGAGAAAGAGGTTTAATGACGAGGGTAGTTTCGTCAATTAATTAATAAGGTTGATATTTGGTAAATTAATTGAATTAAATAATCAAGGGCAAATATGATATTTGAAATCATAGGAGGTGTCATTGTTAAAAAAATCGTTGACCCGCATTTAAGTAACATTGATCGAATCTTCAGGGGGTGTCAATGCAATTTTCCCTTTAACTTTTAAACTTTTACTAAGGTTTCAATTGGATTGAGGGATTTAGAGGGATTTGGAGAGAAAATAAAGGGAAGGATAATGATTAGTGTGTTTGGATGGGAAGAATATGAGAGAAAAGAAAAGATTGGGAGGGATTTGGAGGGATAGTTTGGAATCCCTCCAAAATTGACAAGATTTGGAGGGATTTGGAGAGAAATGGAACTAACGACAAAAGTAGCCTTTGTGAAAGAGGGCATGTAACGACCCAAATCCATTGGATTCGGATCATTAAACGGGTCCTTACCCAACCTAGAATCATCCAAGGGTATTATGGTCATTTCACGTTAAATTT